TAAGGTATGAGAAAAAAGGTAGTCACTAGAACAAAAATATAACATTTCTAACTACAAAGAGAAATTTTAGAAAATAAAAAAGCAAAAATAGAGAAACATAGCAACTAAAACATAATATACATAGCAATGTAATTAAATCATATGGCAAATGTGTGAGTCATATCAATAAATGTGAATGGGCTAAACTCACCTATTAAAAGAAAAAATATTTTTTATTTTGATTCACAAAGCAAGCCCCAACAATATACTGTATATAAGAGACACACCTAAAAGACAGTCACTTCACTGAAAAGGACATACAGATGGCAAATAACGATACGAAAAGATGTTCAACATAGGGAACCATTAGCCATTAGCTATCAGCCATTAGGGAAATTCACATTAAAACTCCAATGATATATCACTACACACCTATAAGAATGACTGAAATTAAAAATTGTGACAATCCTAAATGCTGGAGAGGATGCAGAGGGAAACCAGATCTCTCATACATTGCTTGTGGGAATACAAAACAATACAGCCACTCTGGAAAATAAATTAGTTTGACAATTCTTTAAAAACTAACTATACACTTACCATATGACTCAGTAATCTCACTCCTGGGCATTTATCTCAGAGAAATGAAAACCTGTGTTCAAAACGTGAACATGAATGCCATAGTAGCTTTATTCATAATAGCCCCAAACTGGAAATACCCTAGATATTCTTCAGTGGATAAATTACTAAAGAAACTGTGATACATCCATGTGGCACATGATACCAACTACGGTACATACCATGGAATGCAATAACAAGTAGCAAAATGCTCATATATGGAATAACTTGGATGAATTGCTAGGCAATTATAGTGAGTGAAAAAAGGCAGTCCAAAAAGGTCACATAATGCATGAGTCCATTTACATAACATTTTTGAAATGATGAAATTTTAGATATGGAAAAGAGATTAGTAGCTGCAGGCTTTAAAGAGGGGTGGAGGTGGGAGGGAAGTGGTGTGGCTATAAAAGGGCAACATGAAGGATCCTGGTGGTGATGGGATTCTTCCATATTTTGACTGGTATGAATGCCAGTATCCTGGTGGTGATGTAGTGCTACAGTTTTGTCAAGAATTTACTCTCGGGAGTATCTGGGTAAAGGATACATGAGATCTCTCTGTATTATTTCTTACAACTGCATGTGAATCTACAATTATCTTGAAAGAAAAAGTTTAAAAATTTTAAATTAGGACCGGCCCCGTGGCTTAGCGGTTAAGTGCGCGCGCTCTGCTACTGGCGGCCTGGGTTCGGATCCCGGGCGCGCACCGACGCACCGCTTCTCCAGCCATGCTGAGGCCGCGTCCCACATACAGCAACTAGAAGGATGTGCAGCTATGACATACAACTATCTACTGGGGCTTTGGGGGAAAAACAAATAAATAAAATTATATAAAAAAAAATTTTTAATTAAAACTAGAAAAAAATCTGGAAACAAAATAGAGGTGAAGTTAATCTGTTTGGGGGATAGAAAAGACATTCCTAAACTCAAAAACAAAAGCAAGGTCACATTCAGTATGATTCATAGCTTTGACTACATAATGTACAAAAGCCCCTTGTAAAATTTAAAATAAACTAAAAAAAAATAGTCACAACATACATATCAGAACTGATTCCTTTAAATGTAAAGTCAGCTTCCAAAAAATAGGAAAAAATCAAATCTCTCAAAAGAAAGACATAGACAAAGGATGTGAATAGAAAGGTTACAAAATAAGAAATGCAAATATCCAATACTTATATAAAAGAGTTTAATCTCATTGGAATTAATTAAAACCAAACATGAATTTAATGTTAGCATGCCAGATGAACCATGAGTATTTAGAATGTCAGTAATAAGTGTTGGTGAGGATCAATGAAGTGAGTGTCAGAGTAACATTTCTGGAGGTCAGCTTGTTGACATGTATCTAGGTTCTTAAAACATCGTTCACTTAGCCCATCAATTGTATGTCAGGAAATTTATCTTCAATTATCAAGAATGAAACAAAGTTTTATCTGTAAAGATATTCAACACAGCACTGATTATGATAACAAAGAATAGGAAGCAACAGAAATGATCAACCGAGGTAAAATAGTGACGTATCCATACATTGTATGTATAAATATACTCTATTTTGGAAGAATAATTAATGGACTAGTAAAATGCTCACAACATATTATGAAAAATAAAAGTTAGGACACAGTGTGATTAAAAGTTTTTGCTAACAAATACATATATATCATATGATAGTGTGAGAAAATGTAAGAAAACACACCAAATTATGATCAGTGGTCATTTCTGGGTACCAAAATTATGAGTTACTTTTATATTTTATCATTTTACATATTTTCCTTTAAATACATATTTATATAGTCAGAAAAATAGTAATTTTAAAAAATCAAGTAGAAAGTCAACATTTTGCACTGTGTATCACAGGAAGCCACCTTTCATGAAATTAATTTTTATATGAGGTAGGTAGAAGTCAATTTAGTACATTTGCAATCACAAAGTAAGAACTTCATGCAAATAAGGGCCCTACAACAATTAGACGACCATTTTTTATGAGAAAACTGCTCTGACTGCCAAGCAGCAAGGACCTGGCAAGAAGAATGGTCAGAGCTGGAAGAAAAACCGGAACCAGACAGAAATGAGACATGGCTCTTGACCACTAACTATAGAGACATTTTTTCTCCATCCAAGAAGATGGATGTGATTCATAAGGCCACCACCAAACGAGCTTTTGGAGGAGACAACTGGCAATCTTGCCCCATGCCTTCTATGGCCACCAAGTTACTGAATATTATCCCAGCTTTCACCACCATAACTTTGCACACAGCTGCACGTATTGCATAGAAGTACAAGGCCTACTTGAAAAGTTCAGTGTGCACATGCATCACCCATGGAGCTGAACCCCGGGCACATGTGCATGTCCAGACACTGGACACAGACATGGACACCAACCCATCTAGTCGGACAGACATCCTGGTTCTTATTTCAAAGAGACCAACCAGAGTTGCTAAATGGCCATGAGAATCCCTACTATCTGGAGACCAGTCTCTGGTCACCAGCAGGTAGAGAGCCCGTGTATCACATGCTTGGCCAACGACAGAAGAGGAGACTGGGGCATTTGAATGACAGTCTTCCAGCTCTGCAGAAACTGTGCACCTATTCCAAATGAGGGAGCCCTGGAATTGTTGGGCAAAAGTCTGTATCTCCTGTTGCCACCCTGCGCAGAGCACTCGTCTCTGAACCCCCTTTCTTGGCCGTACTCTGGGGTTGGACCCTCACTGACTCTGGAGCGAAGACGAGATGATGGCAGTGTAAGATGTGTCATTCTGCTAGGGCCGATGATACATTTGCTGTAATGAATCCTGTTCTCATTGAGAATCTTGTTTAAGGGACAGTTTTATTTCTTTTATACTCAGCAGAGGCAGATGAGAGCCTAAACAGGAAGAAGCTGGTTCAGCTTCGGATCCTATCCCTTAGCAGCAGGCCAGCGACGTGCCCAGAAGCCTACTGAGAGATGCATGGTCAGTGTCCCTGCAGCCTGCTCTCCAGCCAAGTGCCTCCTTCCCACACCCACGTCTCCCAGGACTGTTATTCAAATTAACGTCTCAGCAAAACTGCCAAGTATCACTAGTTGTTCATGAACAGACATGGCCAGTATAGTAAGTCTGCAAAAGTCAATGTTCTATTATACACAGAGACTGACGTTGGTCTTCGCCTAGGTACGATAGCCAAGGTTCTGTCCCTGAGTCCAGCCCAGGCAAGCAGTGCCCTGCAGAGGTACGGGGCCTGAGGCAGGGACCGCTGCCTCCACAGGCTTCAGGTCGTTCTGCCACTCAGCCAGAGCTGCTGTTAAAAGCTTTAGTGAGGCTGGTTCTGAGAACCACAGCTAAGCATATACCCAGCTGTGAACTTACAGTCCAAGAACTTCAACAGAAATCTTGTTCAACACCAAATGAAAGTTCTTTTTGGCAGCACCATTTTACAGGACAGAGTACAGAACACACCTCTATTCTGTCCACTCGCCTGCTGCAATGTGCAGTGGCACCATATACAAGTAGGCATGTAGGTGGTCAGGACCCCAGAGTGGGCCCAGCTCCCTTGGAGCAAGTTCTCTTTTGCAGGAGCAGGTCACCTTGGGGAGCCTAGGCATCAGCTGTGCTCCCCAACCCTGGGCGTCACCTCTGTGCTGTCCTCCTGAGAGACGCCCACACATAGAATGCCCACTCCCAGGCTGCCCCCAGTCTGTAATATCCCTGGGCCCTTTGTTCGCTGGGCAATTGGTAGGAGGATGTCAGACTCTCGTCATGGACCCTCATCAGGAGGGTCAAGACGCAAGCCCCACTGGAATTTTCAAGAGAACAGCAACATAGAATACCCAGCAAGCTCACAACCATTTCGTGACCCCTAGACTCGATCTGAATTATGCAGAATGTCTGAAACATCCTCTGTGTTACGAAGTTAATCCCAGCAATAAATTTTTAATGTGTTTTTTTCCTGAGCTAACTTCACCCACACCAAAGTCTCTCTAATTGCTAAAAACATGCATATCCTAGTGCTTAACACTATGTGTTGCTCTTTTTTTTTTTTTTTTTTTTAAGTAAGTAAGCTTAGGGACTATTTAAACAGAATTAAAATGAGGTTTTTTTTTTTTCTCTTGTGAGGAAGATCAGCCCTGAGCTAACATCCATGCCAATCCTCCTCTTTTTGCTGAGGAAGACCGGCCCTGAGCTAACATCTATTGCCAGTCCTCCTCCTTTTTTTCCCTTTTCCTCCCCAAAGCCCCAGTAGATAGTTGTATGTCATAGCTGCACATCCTTCTAGTTGCTGTATGTGGGACGCCGCCTCAGCATGGCCGGACAAGCGGTGCGTCGGTGCGCGCCCAGGATCCGAACCCGGGCCACCAGTAGCGGAGCGCCAGTAGCAGAGTGCGTGCACTTAACCACTAAGCCACAGTGCCAGCCCCCAAAAATGAGTTTTTAAAGTACCTGAAAAATTCCATGAAAGAGAATCCATATCCATGCTGCTCTGCAATTCCTGCACAAACTACATTCGCTGAGGCTCCAATCAGTGTTCCATTACCTGGAAACAAAATTTAAAAAGTAAAATAAAATCTCAGTTTATCTTAGTGTAGACTTCTGTTCTCTTTTGTTCTGTAATATTCGGATCATCTCACGGGCTCTTGATTTGGTGATTACTTTACAGGCACTATCAAAGTGATTGCTTTGCAAATTCCTGTAGGAAAAAAACAAAAAACACTGGCATCCAAAAAATAAATTCACTGCTTGTAAATATAGTAATTCATTTACAGACAGGACTACTAGGGCTGTTGTATGTGATAGAGAAAAGCAAATGGTAAGGAGAATTGGCAAATCCCTGTGGGACACGGTGGCACATATCTTTTAGAGGAAAATGCAAGTAGGGCCAACAACCATTGGAGAGGACGTGCATCTTCTGAGTAGTGGAACTGAATCTCAGATGAGCACCACTTTCCTCAGGACTCCAGGCTGGGACACCAGGCAGGAAACCCTTTCTGTGGATGGAAGGATGGATGCAACAACTGGATTAATGAAATGCCTCTCTGGGTGAGCCTTTTTTGACAGCACACATGATTTGCAGGGGCGACATAATGTGCACATACGTACGTATGAGTAAGGCCTCATGCGTGGTGAAGGATGTGGCCCAAGCTGGCCCCCAACACAGTGACTGGTTCAGGGAAGGGTGAATTTGCTTAGTGAAGCCCATCAGTATCTTCTGTTGCCAACCGCAGAGGTCAGTGTTCAGGGACGGACACACGACCCAGGCTCAGGTAGTTTAGCTCAGTTCTGACATGTGATGTCTGCATAAACCAGAGACTCTCTCTGTCTCCTAAGGACTGGTGAACTGTGACACACAAATCTGGAGCTGGCTATGGCATGTCAGCATGAGGGAGCGGCCTTTCTGAGACTGAACAACATTAGTAACAGCAGAGCAGGAGCAAGAGAACCAAAGATGGAGTCTGGTGGCATAATCAAGCCCCTTGACATTGCCGTTTCAGAGAACCTAGCACTATGTTATCTCTGTGTCCTCTGGAATGCAGAGCATGGAGAAAAGTGTGGAATAAATAACCTCAGAGCAAAGTTACCTGCCAGTTTTCTCTACTCGGGGAGGCCCACAGCACCCGCACTGTTCCCCAGGAGAGGCCCTTGCAGGTGAGATGTAAGTGCTAATGACACTCAGCTGAACACACGTTCCCCTCCTTCTACTCAGTCCTCACCTCTCCCTGAAACATACAGGCAGCCAAGGCCATCAGGTCTGCAGCCAGGGTCACCCACACAAAGGCTCGTGAAGACCACAAGCTGGAGCATCATCTCACTCTCTCTGCCTTTCCTCCATATAAGACTTAGACGGGGGGTTTTTTCAGTGAAAACCATTGAAACAACATGCCATGTTGTCCATTTACATGCTTGCTCTAAGGATGGGACATGTTTGATGTATCAACAATATAAGACTTTAGATCTCAAGAGCTCAATAAAAACCTCCATTGCCCACAGCCTGCTGAGCCCAAGTTCTATGCAGGCCCTGCCTGCCTAAGGTCGGCCCCACTCTGCTTGTGATCCCTGTGTTTCTGATGTCCCATTCTTATAACAATCCCCTTGTCTCTCAGTGCACTTCAGAGCGCATGGCCCCACCCAGAGTATCAGGAAGGGTGACAGGAGGTGGAAGGTGAGCGAGGGGTGGGCCCATCACCAAGGGAGAGGGACAGCTTCCCCACAGTGGGGGGAAAGGCATGACAGACTGACACCCAGGCTGCTGTGTGCAGGACAGACTTTAGGGCAGCGATAGAGAAAGCAGGGAGCTTGGCTAGGAGACAGCCCAGGCTATAGGTGATGCTGGCTTGTTCCAGGTGGTAGAACGATGCTCCTCCATTGCAAAGAAGCCCACATCTTAGTCCACGGGACCTGTGATTATGTCACTCTGTTACCCTGTATGGCAAAGGAGACTTTGCAGATGTAATTCAGGTTATGGACCCTGAAATAGGAGGATTACCCTGGATTATCTGTGTGGGCCCAATTGAGTCACATGAATCGTTAAAAGCATAGAACTTTCTCCAGCTGGAAGCAGAAGAGAATCCCCAGAGGGAGAGTAGCAGAGATTCCAGGGGTTGTCGCAGAGATTGGGGCATAGGTGAGACTCCAGGGGGTAGTTGGAGGGATCCCAGGGTGGGGGATCAGAGGGATCCCAGAGGGAGTCATAGAGATCCCAGGGAGTCGAAGGGATGGGGGGAGTCAGAGATATAGAGGGAGTTGGAGAGAAGGGGGTGTATCAGAGAGATCTGGGGAAAGTGGAGGGATTCCCACCATGAGCAGGATTCCATACACTGTTGCTGGCTCTGAGATTTAGGCCCACGTGCAAGGACCAGAGAGGCTTCTATGAGCTACGGGCAGCCCCAGCTGACAGCCAGCTAGGGAACAGGGGCCCAGTCTTACAGCTGCAAGGAACAACCTGAGTTGTTCTGCCAACAACCTGAGTGAGCTTGGAAGCAGACCCAACCCCAGAGCCGCCAGAAGGGAGCACAGCCTGAGGACACCTTGATCTTGGCCTCATGAGACTCTACGCGGGGACCTAGCTGAGCCACCTTTACCTGGAAGGCAAGAACTGTGACACAATAAATCCTCTAAATTTGCCAACTGAGTCTGGATTTCCATCTTGATTCTGAGATCTGCCTCCGCCCCCTCCCCAGATTTCCATTAGCTTCTTGCTAATGTCTCCACACTAGGCGTGCTCTCACTTCTACCCAGCAGGCCACTCTCCGTGAACATCAGCTCATATTTTCCAGGGGCTCACGGGGAGCCTGTTTTTGGAGAGACAGAACAGAGACATCACGTGGGAGTTGCACAGCAGGCATGAGATCAGAGAAGCAGAAAGAAAATGCTCAGAGGCCCGGGGTCACGGGGCCCTGGCCAGGTAGGGCTTCCCTGAGGAAGTGGCAGATGACTGGGGACTTAGGAAGCTCCAAGGAGAAAGAGACGGGGCAATTAGTTTCAGTAGGGCATGCAGGCACACGCAGGCCTGGGTGTGGGGGGAGTTCTGCTGGAGAAGGAGTTGAAGGAAAAGACCAGATGTCTGCTGAGTGTCTCCTCGGAGCTAGAAGCATTCTAAGGGCTTGGCGTGCCTTTAGTCTTCACATCCTCACCACAACCCTTGGGGTCCCCAGTGTCTCCCTGAGGCAACTAAGGCACAGAGAAACTGCACAACATGATGAGTTTTCAGGGCTGTGAAGTGGTAGGCCTAGGACTCGAACCAGATGTTCTGACTCCAGAGGAAGATCAGACAGGGCAGGACTCAGGCTGCACAATGTAAGCCTAAGGCCTTTCTGTAGACAACCAAGAAGAACATCTGAAGGGTCCCAAACAGGTGGCAACGTACAAATTCCATGGCAGTGCTGGCCCCAGCCAGCCTCCTTTGGGCACTTTCTCACTGATGTGTCCATCCCACCACCTTGCCAGTCAGCCGGCTCCCGCTGTGGGTGAGTAGACCTGCCCATGAGATTCCACACTCTTGCCAAGCCATTCTGCCCGGCGATTATTTCCCAGGGTCTGACAAGTCTGTTCCCACAGGGAAGCCCTTGCTCCTCAGAGGGCCCTGCCCTGCTGGTCTCCATCGCAGAGCACGTACCTCAGTGCCTGGGCAGAGTCTGCCCTGCCCCACCCAAACACTGCTACTCCAGGACTTAACATGGTGAGCTGTGCTTCTGGATGACACAGAGCTTCACTCCTGACCCAGGGTCACACGCAGCAATCTGTGCAAGCTCTAAAAATAAAAGGCAACGCTTTTTTTCTCTCCTGTGAGGGATTAATGATCAAAAAATACTGCTCTTTTCAGTTAACATGGCAGGCAGGCACAGCCTGGATGAAGCATCTCGTCATGCTGCAGTTGGTATGAATTCCTCATCCGCTATGGACCACTTGCCAGAAAACCAGAGGCTCTTTCCATTTCCCATTTCACGTTGCCAGGGTGAACTGGCTCGGTGGGTTAATGTGTTCCTGAGCACTTCTGGAGTCAGGGAACGGAATGGGGAGACTTTCAAGGATCTGAGGGAAGGGGTAGCAGCTTAATCTCCTGGCTGCACGATGACTTGAGCAGGATGAGGAGGGCTGGGTGAGATCAGGGGAGTAAAGCGAGGAGCCCTGTGAGTCAAATTCTTTCCTTGGAGAGTAGAGGAGGCAGAGACACGAGCAATGGCTGGGCTGACTTCCCTCACGTAAGGCGGTTCCTCAGCTTTTTGACTTCTATCCACCTTCTCAGGAATGTAGTATGTATGACACTATGGGGAATGCTATTCCCCAAAGCCCTCTCTGCACTGGAACAGGTCCTCACAGCCTGACCTCCCTCCCCTAGACCCACTGTTCAGTCATCCTTTTGCATGAAGTCATTCCCCTCCTGAAGGCCTCATAACCTGGGAGGTAGAACATTAACTGTTTAAGTCTGACTGAGCCCTGTTTCTTTAAGAATGCTCTCAGCTACAGAAACCTGACTAACAGTAGCTTACACACACAGGAAAATCATCTCCTCCCATGTAACAAGAAGCTTGGAGGCAGAGGTCTGATGGGTAATGTCAGATACAGGTCTCCACAATTCTCTTGGCCTCTCCCTCCCATCACAGATGGTTTCCTGGCCACATCTAAGGCAGGAGGCACAGACGAGAACTGGTACCAATACGTTTTTATCAGGATGGCAAAAGCTACGTCAAGAGGCTGCCAAACACGTTTCCCTTGTTTCTTATTGGTCAGCAAAGTGAGACAAGCAGAGCAGATGAGCTACCAGTGGGCGTATTACGGTAGAGGGAAGCAAAGAGAAGAGAGTAGGAACGGTGTTGGGTCAGCCAACCAGCAGATCCTGCACAAAAATACCGGAAACAGAGTATGTCAGCAGCTATAGTGGAAAGAATGCTAGGTTCGGATTCTGAAGATCTCAATCAAAGTCTCAAATCTGCTAAGCTCTGTAACCATAAGTGATCACTGACCATTTCTGTCATATTAAGATGTTTTTGGTTGGAAGAAAAGGAAGATGCAACATAAGATGGTGTTGGCAATACAGAG